TTGGACATTTGCTGGTTTATCTCGATCAACTCATTCATCCGACCCTCCATGTGGGAAACGTGACTTTGGGCATCCCTTTGGACCCTAAGGATTTCAGCTCTTGATTGCAAACGGATACTCTCAATTTCACGGTGTGCCATTTGGACAACTTGTGAAGCTTCCCCACGAATTTCGTTCAATTCCTTTTGAGACTGAACTACTTGGGATTGAGATTCTCCTACAACTCTGGAAGCCTCTGAATGAACTTGTTCTGCAAAGGCTAGAGCTTCATTCCTAGCTATTCCCCTTTCAGCTTCAACGTGTTGGATTGCTTCAGCCCTCAAACTTTCTCGAGCTTGCTCAACGACTTGATGGGCTCTTGCAATGACGAATGGGTTCATACTCACATGAAGTTCGTTTCGAACATTTGTTTGAGAGTAAGTTGGACCCTGATCACCAGCACTGGAACCTGGATTTGGAAACGGATTCTGCGGAATGGTTGGTGAGCTAGCTTGAGACCCATCCCTAAGGAAATTTGAAAGAGTCTCTGGGCCGGCTTTGGCAAGAACGACTCTCTGTTCTGGCGTTGACATGGATCTGGATTCTGACTCCGAACTCGGTGTTGGGATATTTTGTGCATGAACTTGCATAGCTGTTACACCATGATTACCATGGGCAGACCTAGATCTATCGGTTTCCGATGATTGAAAGTCTTCTGAATTCGACATGTTTGGTTCGAATGACGCCATTTTGGCAGTGGATTGGATAAAGGGTGTACTACCTTATCGGCAAGGGTTCACTTCCTAACCTCCACTTTTCACTCGCTCAGCCACTCTTCGACGTATGGCAAACAGTCCTCCAAGAACTTAGCTCGCGGGAAAGTATCAACCGCAGCTGGCTTCCTGAGCAACTTAATGTGTGCAGCACGAACCTGAGGCAAGTAATCGCTGAACTCACTAAGTACGTCGGAACTGTCGTCAATGAAGAAGAATGAAGACTCGTAGAGCCCTGTCTGCTCGATGATATCTGTAACACAAGCGCACTTCCCCTCGGCACCACAACGATCTTTTCGTACAATGATACCCCAGTGAAATACTTGTGCAAAGTGTTCAGTATTTCGAATGTACCTTAAAGTTGAGGCCGCTCTCTTGTCAGTGTCGATGTACGACAGAATTCCAACAAAAAATTGCTTCCCAAACTTATCGGCTGCTTCAATGCACTGGCTGACAAATCTCAAATTGGACGATGGGACCCGGTCCAAGGAATACGTTGTTCCTTCCTTTCCACGATCAACCACCTGATGCCAATCCAATATCAACACACGCACCTTTGACTTGTCCTCGACTTCGTTGAAGGCCAAAGTATGTTTCTCTTCCGGGCCGTTGGCTTCCGAAAAACGATACAAATGTTGGGATCTCGGAAATCTTGGAGTATACCTTAGAGACACCTGAATCGAAGGAGTACCCTTGGCCTTTGCGACCGGTCTTGAAGAACTGCTTGACTCTCCTTGAAAGTCTCGCTTGCTTCCCGATGCAGCTTGGCTAGGTCTCACCACACTCGATGGCTCTACCTTCTCAGGACGGCTCGGTGCCGACTGATTCTCAGGACGACTCGGTGTCGATTGAGATTGATTTGAGGCCTTGAAAGTTTCCAGTAAAGATTCGCGAACTCTTGTATTCGGATGACTCTCGCTGAAGTTGTCTTTCAAGATAAAAGGAAACTCGTTCGAAAGACTCCCACTGTCCAAACAGGACTGGATGAAAGATACCTTCTGAGGAATTCCTCTTCTTCCGCCTCGACCAAAAATAATTAAATCCCACAGGCAGTCAGAAATACCAGAACCCTCTGGAGCAGGAATGGCGCAAGCACCGAGAGCCAAGTACGGCTGATAACCACGTTTTAGTGGCTCAACCAACCCAGCAGCGACACAGCGGTGCAAGCAGGATTTTCCGATCTTGAGCCAAAGTCAAGTTACAGCATAGTTTCATGCTGACCCAACTCTGGATTGAACATGCTCTGTGCTTATGATTGTAAAGGCACATTCGGTTTGGTTTGTGACACATTTGGTGTTTGTAGCCGACGGTGCCCAAGGCAACACGCCGGATTTTGAGCTCCGTTTTGGGACCGCTATGGTTAGTGGTTTTTATCCGAATTTCTTCTTCTGTTTATTGGGATATAATTGGCATGTAATGGATATAAGGTTCTTTGTGTCCCTATTCCATTGGGATACAATGGGATATAAGTTATAAGGGTGATTGAGCCAACAATAACTGGGGATATAACCACTAGTTCCAATAGTAAACATCCCAAATGGTTGGTCTACTATCCCAACCTATGCCTATTTTAACGGGGAAAATGGATGACAACTTCAATGGCTTGTTGGCTTTCTTGGAATAATTTCATCAGGAACCCATGGACCCAGTAAATATCTAGGGTTTTCTGTAAATTTCGACTTCTGGAAGTCAGGGAGGGTCGGGATTTGATCAATCAACATCAGGTCGATGGTGGTAAATATACCTTATGGTAATCAAACATGTTACCGGAGAGTAACTTTCTTTCGCCACCTCTGAATATCCGTGGGATTTGATCCTTTCTACATCGTCAAATCATGCCATACCCCTATTGCCGCTATGCCCCGCAACTTCTGCAAATCATTTGTGTCTCCCTTGCGTCATCAGTGCCCAGTGCCCAAAACCTATTCCTTATCATACTGGATTAGTTCATCCCCATTGGGCCACTTCGTCTAACTCCAATGTATCAATTATCAATCACGGCGGATTTACTGGGCATTCTTCACATCCCAAATCCTCAAATTGTTTGTGTCCTCAAATCCTCTGGTTCGTCATGACATTCCTCAATCGGGAGCGTCCAAACAGCCTTTTTCAAAGGGAAAATGATGAGAAACCACTTGAATGGCATCATGAAATGGGCGATCTTGCAGATTGACAGATGCCCAAAACCTTCTGTGAGTCTTCCAGGTCTTCACCCCAAACATGTGAAAGTCAACCCCAATCGATGGTTTCCATTTCAAGAACTTCCAAGGCGTGGCCTGAAATCAGGATTTCTGATAGAACAAACACATTCTCATCATTTCTTGCTAAAGTTAAATCAAGTCCCTATAGATCGAGACCATTTAAAGTGTTTCTGTCACCAGCAGATTAGTTTCAGGGAACATTTCCAGCAAACCATACTTTTTGTCATCTCAAATTGGCAACGTGGTTGGGGATTCAACCATACAATTTCCTGACACAACTTCTGGGGCCATGAGACGATATCCCCACAAGTTCACAAAAAAAAACATCTAAGTGCTTCAATCCCTATTTCTCTAGGATGTTTAAATGCATCCAATTGGGCTTAATTCCCCAATTTTGACGATAAAAACACCACACATGGTCGAAGGAAGTTTAGAAGTGAAACTTCCGACAATATGGACAGTTGAAAAGCAGAGGTGAAAAGTGTCAGAAGAGAAAAGATCAGAAGAAAGAAGATGCAGATGCGCGAAAAGGTAGGAAAGTCGCGAAACACTGTGTTTTTCCAATGATTTGGGGCTCCGGAGGGTCGAAAAGTAGGCTCGCTAAAGCGGCGGGTGCGGAGCCAGCTGGCCAGATGAGAGATGAAAAATTGCACGCCGTTGTGGCGCGAAGCGCATTTCCAAGTCAAAATGTACAAAACACCTCAGCGTCGGACCACTTTTGGAAGTTGAGATGTCGAAAAAGTGCACGCCGTTGTGGCGCGAAGCACATTTCCAAGTCAAAATGTACAAAGCACCGCAGCTCCGGACCACTTTTGGAAGTTGTGATGTCGAAAAAGTGCACGCCGTTGTGGCGCGAAGCACATTTCCAAGTCGAAATGTACAAAACACCGGGCTCCGGACCACTTTTGGAGGTTGCGATGTCGAAAAAGTGCACGCCGTTGTGGCGCGAAGCACATTTCCAAGTCAAAAGTGTTAAAAACTGACGGTCTCGGACCACTTTTGGAGGTTCAGATGTCGAAAAAGTTTCGAAAAAGTGCACGCCGTTGTGGCGCGAAGCACATTTCGAAGTCAAAAGTGTAAAAAACTGAGGGTTTTGAGCCTTTTTTTGACGTGAAGATGTCGAAAAAGTAGACACTGATTAACTTAACTAACTTGACTGACTTAACTAACTTCACTAACTTAACTACCCTAACTTCGACGACAACAGCAACAGCAACAACAACAACAACAACAACAACAACCACAACCACAACCACAACAACAACAACAACTACAACAACTACACAACAACTACAACTACAACTAGAACTACAACTACAACTACAACAACTACAACAACAACAACTACAACAACTACAACTACAACAACAACAACTACAACAACAACAACAGCAACAACAACAACAGCAACAACAACAACTACAACTACAACTACAACAACTACAACTACTACTACAACTACACTACAACTACAACAACTACAACCACACAACAACTACAGCTACAACAACAACAACTACAACTACACTACACTAATTAGATTACACCACAACTCCAACTCCACTACGCTACAACTACAACTACAGTTGCAGTACATCACACTACATCCAGCAGTTGTGGGTGAGGTGACCACTGCAACCATTGCAACCACGCCAGCAAACACAACTCCAACCACCTTTCGGTCAATCAGTGGATTCGCTCTGCCATCCGTGATTCACAACAACCAACGTCTCCTATAGGTTTCCTATTCTGAAACTTCCGCCACCGCCTTGTGCGGTACTACTGGTAAAATTACCAAATTTGGATGGTGTCAACTCCCGATTTTCATGGTTCAACCCATATTTTTCATGGTGAAATCCCAATTTTTTCATGGTTCATCCAACTTTGGATGTTTACCCTCTGGTAAACATACAAAAAGCTATTGAACATGGCCATAGAAATAGTGGATTTACCCATTAAAAATAGTGATTTTCCATAGTTATGTTAGTTTACCAGAGGGTATAACCAGCATGTCATATGGCTCGGTTTTTGACGCATCGTCTCTCGCCTGGTGCTTCTCGATGGCTTCGCACACGTCGCTGACCAATATGGGTAGGTCTTGACCTCACCAGGAATGGATGACGCAGTGGTAACATTTTGAAATGGGGCCTGTAATATTTTGGAATGATTTACTAAAAATATTGGTAATAACAATTAATTGTAATAATCATACTGATAACTGATAACTGGTAACACCATTTACTTAAAATATTGGTCATAGTAATTTCATTGTAACAATCATGCTGATAACACCAATGAAAATAGTGGCCCAGTTTGGTTTTTGATTACAGTATTCAGTGTATTCTGAATGGTGGCAGTAACAGAAGGTCAACAAAGTCGTTCTGGGATTCCAAACTGATTCATAAACATGCTCGTTATCACAATCTGTATATACATACCAATGAACGTTCACTCCCAACTGAGTTACCGACTGAACACTACTACCATTATTGCCGTTACTACCATCTATATCATCTATAACAAACTATCTTTTTTTAGCACCATTCGTATTCTGATGTTCTTTTTGTTTCCTTAAACATGATACCACTAGAATGATTGTCATCGGCCCTGACATGCCAAAACACAGGCAGAAGCTGGGCCCAAGCGTCCAAGGCACGACAATCAAACAGGGATGCGCAACAGTTTCAATAGTAGTTGCAACATTCTGCGGCGTCAAAGCAAAACAACAGAATGATATTTCGAGATATGATATTTCGAGATATTTCGCATTGCTTGAAAGTGTCATCCTCATATTTGTCATCGATCTGTGACCCATTTGGCCCCGTGTCCGCGCCGAAAACCGAGAAGTCCAACTGGGATATGGCAGCGTACTCCGTTCCCCAGACGCACTGATGGCCAGCAAGGAATACTCCTCAGATGGAATCCACTGGTGGACAGCAAAACATTTGAAACGTTAGCAGAGAAAGTGCTAGATAATTTATGTAGATATAAATGATTATAAATGCATACTTTTCCTATCTAAGTAAATATTGAGAAATATGGAGACCATACAGAAATGTACAGAATCTTCTTCATTCTTCAAGCAGGATCTCGGCTTTCGTGCTATGGAAAACTTCTAATCAGCCCTTCTTTCAGTTACAGTTGCACCATGCGCCGATCCCGGAGATGTGCGTGTGGGCATGCCACGCACAGATATGCGCATCCATTTTTTGCAGCAAAAACGCAGCAGGTCCCAGGTCCTTGATGATCTCCCACTTGTCATCCATGAAACCACCTTCCACCTCAAACTTTCTCCCATTTGCTGACGCTAACAGTTGGGGTAACCATGGGATTTCAACCGTTGGGATATGCGGCCCCTATGGTGAAACGTGGAGATTTGGCACACTCAACGCGAGACTACTTCAACTCCCGAAGGCATCTAGCGCCAAAATGAACTGCCAGACTTAGCAGGTATGGTTTAAAACTGTTTAAAACACGTAAGGAAAGAATTTTTCATCGCCATCCAACAATTTCTGTGAAACAAATGCTTGAAAATCGTCTGAGCCGCAGACTCCGATCGCCATCTTGGTTGGCTCTTGCTCATCTGGCGTGGAAAGGTTGACAAACAGCGACAACCATCGACAGATTCTGTTTTCCTCCATGAGGGGTTGGTCCGCCACCAACTTGATGTTGCATTAGATATACTCAGTATACCCCTAGTACTGGGGTTGGGATGATGAGCCCAAATGGTTAGTGGGATGGTTTATGGGGGACTGCTTTACCGCAGAATCTACTGTCGATCCGTGGTCCCTTTCTGCATGTTCGATCTCGGAGATACAGATAGTATTTTTAGGAACTCTAATTGGGGATGAATCTGATTTTAGTGGTATATATATATAGGTATTTATATTTGGGATGATTCGTCCTATATCAAACAGATCGGTATTTACCCTTGGTTTTTTGATTGAACCCTTTGATATCCCTACTTTGAGTGGCTTAAAACTCAGATTGGGCTGGCGAAATCCCATGAAAAAAAGGAGGTTTCTGGCTGAACTGCTGGGAGCTTCCAGCACGCCAATGGGTGATTGCCGAAGGGTGCGAATATCCATCAATCATCATTCATCATCAACTAATAGGAACATTACAGTGATGGTAAACAATGGACAATCCACTAGCTATCCACTAATCATTAAATATTGTAATAACTAGCAATGAACCATCATATTATTCATTGATAGTGATATATAATGATGATCCATTAGTTAACAATGATAAATTGTAGTCATCCGCAACCCACCCACCGGTTGTGACTGGAATATCTCGACACCTGCGGGTTTCTGCTTCTCCTCACGGCGGAACTTCTGCAGGAGGTATAAACCTGGCAATCCATTGGTCGCTTGTCCCTATCACAACTATGGCTTTCAAAATGGTTAAAACCAGTTAGTTAAAACATGTTAAAACCCACTAATGGTTGGAACATGTTTGAAGCTACCAAACTGAGCAGTGTTCAAAACCTGGAATTCGACACGGTAAAACCTTCAGGCATCGGGCCATTTCTGTGGAAAGTCATCTTCCAAACACATTCTTCAAAGGGGTGCAGCCTGGCTCGATATGTGTTGTGCCCAAAGAGCGTTGTATGATGTGTGCCCCCGACATTAAAACTGTCAACATGCTGGTGGACTTGAAATTTTAGATGACGTATTGGGAAAAACCACGGCGCCCTTGACAGTTGATGACTCCACGGCTGTTTCCAACCGGCAAAAAGTCTCATCCGCAACAGCCCTTATTTTACCCATGGGGACACATGGGTTTATCCATGAAAAAAGGGTGGATTTCCTCCATTCTCCACTGGATTTTCCACCGAGCCAGCCTTTGCCACCGGAGCGTTGAAGGTCCAGGTCGATCATGTCTGCGGTGCCATGGCCGGAAACTTTGGACAATCCGGATGATGATAGTATAATCCGATATATTCAGCCATATAATATTTGTACTATCCAATAGCTATGCTTATAGAATCTTATACATTTTATCTATGATAATAGTTCCAAAATCTATTGGATAGTATAATCGTGTATAACCACATATAATATTTATATCATATCCGTAGAGTATACATATCAATCAGCAACATTCATGTAAACATATCTGGTATGATCAAACCATTGGCTTGTAGTTTATGGTCATCCATCTCATTCCAAGGGATTCCATGCCATGGGTTGGCTGATTGACGACCATCCCCCAATATGATCCAATATGAGTCTATCCAATCTGTCCAACTTTTGACCATGGCATATATATATATGTATATATATATATGTATATATATATATATATGTATATATATATATATGTATATATACACATACATATATACACATATGATGTATATATATATATACACATACGTATGCACCACATATATGCACATATCGTCAGGGGTCTCTGGCAGCTCAACCTTCACCATATTTCACCATATCGACCAACTTCGGAAAAAACATCGGGTCCGCCTAAGGCCACTCCTTGCCAGGTGCGCAGATTCACCTCAGCCCGCGGTCCCAGGAAACCATGGGAACAAGGGAACATCTTAACCAAAAATCATCGTTTTTACCATTAAATATGAGGGTTTCGTGGAAATTGTCCCACCGATCCAATGATTATCATCGTTTTCCCCCAAATTGCTGGGCCATTCAATGTCATTCGCATGGGGTATACGGGTATACCGTAATTTTTCGGACATACACTTCGCACATTATTGAAACAATGCGTTTTCAAAAATCAATGAACGCATCAACACATCTTTAAAGCACTGTGAATACCACTGAAATCACACTTCAGGGAAGGTATGGGGGGATGGTATGTGTATACATGTAGAGATTGTGTGTATCGTTCCAGTCTCCAGCTGCTCTTGAATCTCAGGGCAGAGTCAGACAATCTTTAACATCAGCAACTCAATGCAACATACTCAAGTACCAGACAAGTAATACCAAGTAGAGATGATCTGCTTATCCACAAGCCCTCAAGCTTAGGAGCCGATGCTCCAAGCTCCCACAATTGGGACCCTTAGTCTCCAGGGCCTTAATGATGTCCTTGAAGATAAAAACATTGATCACCCTGCATACTAAGTGCTCTCCTCTGTACCAGTAGAACATCACTATATCCTCAGGCCTCTGTCCGGGCCATGTCTGGCACACATGTCTGTTGGTTCAAAAAAAGGCCCGCTCAAAGATAGAAACATGGAAATCTCGTATACCCTGCAACATTTTAGAACCTTTTAGCTGGTTAGTATATATCCATATTTCTAGCATAAGATCTACCTTCTGGTAATTCACAACATTGCTACGGAACATGACCCGTTTATAGATCATTTACCTATTACATGCTATTGCAAATGGTGATTATCCAAAGCCATATCAAATTTAAATTACCAAAGGGTCATGTACTAAACGACCTAGCTACAGTAGCCAGTTGGCTTCACCCGGAAACTGAATGGATCCCGAAATCACCCCTGGGCCCCCAGCTGCCAATCCACCCTCGCTGAATGGAGTATCCTCAGTCCGATCTGAAGCCAAAAGGAATAGCCGTAAGAATCATAGTCATAACAGCAATCATACTAGCACTAATGTTTGTTTGTTTCCCTGCACTCAGAAGCGTCTGAAGCCTGTGATTCAGGCGGCAGGCTGAGATATGCCATGCACTAGTAATGGTAGTAGAAAAAAGGGTGGTGATAATGATAGCAGCAAAAGCTGGGTTGCTCAAGCCATGTGTGTTCTCAACTAGCACCATTTATCGCCCATTTCTGGGTGGTTTCCCCGCTGAGGAAGAGGCAAAAGTGTAGATGCACTCATCTTTGAACACCTGTGGAACTGGTGACGATCGGAGTGCATGCCCACCATGTTACCATATGTTACCTATAAATGAATGTATCTGGGGAGCCACAAATTGCAGAACCTCCCGGTTGGCGGTGGAAGTTGCATTCTCTTCTGCCTGCAGGACCCAGTTGAAGATCTCGACATCCGCGTCCAGCATGACCTTCTCCATGTCTGGTCGTGGCGGCAAGTCCTGAGGTGACGACACATTGGAGTCAATTTCCATCTGGAAGGCCACCTTCAATGCCTGCAGGTTGGGATAGTCCTTCTGTTCCTGCAGGTCTTCAAGACGAGGCAAACTCCTGAGGTGGTCATCAACACTGATCAACTTCAGGTAAGACAGATGACAATCGGCAACAGCCGTCAGGAAGTTCGTGATGTACTTCCTGTTCAGGGTCTCGTCTCCAAATTCCTTCAAATTCCGTCAAATTCCTTAAAATTCCTCTCAGATTCCTTAAAATTCCTTAAAACTCTCTAAATTCCTTAATATTCCTTATAATTCCTTTAAAGTTCCTTAATATTCCTTAAAATTCCTTAGAATTCCTTCAAATTCCTTAAAATTCGCTGATCTAAAATGACATGCCCAACAAAATCGATATAAACAGATCCTGGAAAAGCATTGGTTCCATTCTGCAATAAAATGCTCCAAACAGACTTTTTCTTGCAATAAAATGAGAATGGAATTTTAACATGTTAAAAATCATCAGGTTTTACCTTGCCAATAAAATGCTCAGACCACCCCCCCAACAATAAAATGACTAGCCTGACATCAATTTTAAAATTCCAATACATTAAAAACATCGTTTAAACTATGCACAGGTTCACCAGTTCTAGAGTGGAAATTGCCACGGGGATGCCTTCCCCATCTAGGGTTGGAAATAAACACCGAACCACAAGCATAGACAGATCAAAACAATGGCTTCCAATCCCAAAACTACGGGGGAATCGTCTAAATTCATGTGGGTAAAACAATGCCATAAACCATCCCCCAGTCATCACCATTCTTATAGGTGGTATGGTGCCCCCATTCCCAGTCATGAAAGTCTTCCAGGTCTTGATGGAAATAACTTGGTCGCTTCACCCGAAAAAAAAACCCAAGCGATGGCCTTATCGTAGTGTTGTGGTGCCTGGCGGGTACATCTGCTGGAAATCAATGGGTTTTGGCCAGAAATGGTCCCAGGCCTGTGAGAAGTTGCCCTTTTTCGTTCCAGGAAAAGGTGAGTTGACATAAGAAGCCTACATTGAGACATCCAAACCCAGGCCCGACTTTTCAAACAACGATGTTCTCTATACATCATGGGAGGGTCTCTTAGTGGTGCTGGGCAAAGTTCAGCAGGTCGATGAGGCTGCGGCTGAATCAAGAGTGCAGGATGGTTTCCTACAAAAAACTCTCCACATTTTGGATCGTTTTAGATGGTTTTACTGGTCTACTTCACTATGGATGGTTAAATCCTCAGCTCAGGGCGTGCCTTGAGGCCAATCATACAAGCCCTCACTGTCTCCATGGCTCACAGAGGTGCTGAAAATTTCCCTGGCAGTTTCACCAAAATAGGCCCATGGATGTCTAGGAAATCCACCATTTTGAAAGACATACCAAAAATAGATAAACATAGTATACCAGATAGATTTATCAGAAACATCCATGGTTTTCAATTATTGATCTGATTAAATCTGATAGGTCCAAGACTTGTGAAAGCTGACTTTGCGGTCGCATCTCAGGATCCTAAAGGCGGAAAGCCGAACACCAGCTGAAGGCCAACAACAACGGCGGAAATCACGAGATTCGTTGGAATCAACGGAGCCACAGATCGTTGGAATCAATGAACTTCACATAAAAAAAGGGGTTACGATGCCGCGACATAAATCTCCAAAGATTTGGATGCCAAGATCTTTTTTGCCCCGCCGAATCCACCAACGTGAAGGAACAGAAGGGACAACGGCAGACACTGCGCAGGGTCCTCATATTCGCGGTTTGATTGCTGCGAAACACTGCACAAAAACATTCTCGGAAGCAAAGAATCTGCAACAATTGCAAGAGATTGATCATACTTGCCGATGTTTGCTGTTTGCTGGGTCTGCACATTGCATTCCGTTGCCACTGAAAATCTGGCGGCGATCGAAAATCTGACAGCAGAAACTGTGCAAGCCGCGTTTTAGGGCCAGCACCGAAACCACAAAATTGCTAAATATGTCGAACAATGTGACATGCCATCACAACTCACATCTCTCCCAAAAAATACACAACTATACATAAAGTGGACCAATATCAAGTAAACCCCAAAACGGTATTGCTACCAAACTGACTGCTTCAACTACAACCAAACTTGTCTGGAATAGAGACGGCATGTCAAGGACTGCGCATTTACATTCCCAAATGTATCTTGTCCATCAAAATCTCACGCTAGTGAGCTCTTGAATGCACCATTGTCCATAAACGTGACGATATTTCCGACCTTGGATCTGTGTCGCGAGCATGGCAAATGATCCGAAGATGAATTCACAAGATGGAGTATGGTCTGAACTCATGCCCAACCAAGGTTGAATGGTTCCATGCCAACATTCCGATTTGAGCCGCGCAGAGCCAAATGGTAACTTTCCATCCATGCGCGTTTCACTAGAGAGCCAACCCCTTTAATTTAACTGGTGCTGTGGAATGGTGAAACATCATTTTTCTCGAAGGTTCTTTTATCCTCTGATGATTGGGTTGGTGGTTTTCCTGTCCTGACAGTTCCCAAATTGAAACCCTGAAGCAGGCTGCTATTCCAACAACAAAATACAGTAAATCACCTTTGGAGAGGTCGGCCACTCATGTTGCGCGCTTCTTTATCAATGAAACCTGGGAAATCCCCATGAAGAATGGCGCTAAATGCTGGGGTTATCTCCACCCACCAGGGGATCTACCAACTCCCGATTAAAAAAAGGTACATATGTATATAATCATACAGTATCATACATCCCACTCCATGTTCGTATGAACATATAAAAGATAATAAATATAGAACTTATTTTTCGATCTATCTAATCTTGTACGCACCTGATCTACTCAGCTTGAAATTGAGCATCGGACGCCATCGTCGATGCGGGCATCGCTGCCCACCTCAGCTCAGGGCATCCCAACGGATAGCGATTGGTTTCAACCCCGAAAGTTGGTCGTAAATCATTGGGAAATACCCAATAGCAGCCGCAGCAAAAAACGGCGGAAGTTGCCTTAGGGTACCCAAAAAAGACATTTTTCATCGTTTTTCATCTATAGAAGGTGTTCCCTGCACCAGCGAAACCAGGGCTTGCTTTGTGCGAAGCTGTTGCACTCTTGTTGTCCAAGAACATGACCTGCGCACGACCACGTTGCAATGCATCGCCAAGCTACACTGTGTGCTCCCAAGATCACACTCCACACTTCACACTGCACACTTCATCTAAGTTTTTCCCATCTCATCCGAACACTGTTCAGCTTTCTCATCTCATCGAAGCTCTTCGTGACTCAACTCAGCTCTTCTGTGCGTAATAGAGCTTTTACTGCTGGAGAGAAGCTTTTGGTCTACTTTCACTGTCACGTCTATTCTCAATCATGGAACTCGTAACCTTTCATTCATACCCATACCTTACACACTGCATACTCAATATCATACACACTACATTACATTGATTGAAACAAGTCAGTAAAGCACCATAGAACTACGAGCAACTGCAACAGAAATTTTAGTTCCAAAACCGGATCTCGGCGCCAAGGCTAAAAACACAAACAATTTTGAAACATTTTTAAAAAGGCATTTTAAAAGAAAGATCGCCAGCGCCAAAATTGAGAAAATCTGCTGACAGATCAATATCGCAACCTGGACGCGCAAAAGACCTTTTTGATGCATCCATTACAATGCGAACTGCTATTGCAAACCCGCATGAATCTACGCACATGGCAACAGAACATGGCAACATTCATGCAGCCATTCCACTGCGATGTGCCACCACAGATTCCAAAATACGCTGTAACTACTCACAAACGAACAATTGCACGTTGCAAAACACACTGAAGGAGCCAATCGCACGTCAAAACGATCCTAGCCGCACCCGCCGCACACAGGAGGTACGCTTCATCGCCGGCGTAAGGCTCTTCAGACGAAAAGAACACAATGTTTCCTGCTCCGGCATTCTCCCCAACACAAGTCCCATGCATTATGTATGTATTGTTGTGTATGCATTGTGATATGACGTATTGTTGTGTGATGTATTCCAGTGTGATGTATTGTTGTGTATGCATTGTGATATGACGTATTGTTGTGTGATGTATTGTTGTGTATGCATTGTGATGTGACGTATTGTTGTGTGATGTATTGCCGTGTGATGTATTGTTATTGTTGTGTGATGGATTGATATGTGATGTACTCCTATGTGATGTATTGTGATGTGATTTATTGCTATGTGATGTATTGTTTTGTGATGTATTGTCATGCGATGTATTGTTGTGATGTATTGTGATATATTGCTATGTGATGTATTGTTGTGTGATGTATTGTCATGTGATGTATTATTGTGATGTATTGTTGTGTGATGTATTGTGATATGATGATATGATGTATTGTTATGCGATGCATTGCCGTGTGATGTATTGCTGTGCGATGTATTGTCATGTGATGTACTGTTGTGTGATGTATTGTGATATGATGTTTTGTTATGTGATGTATTGCCGTGTGATGTATTGTCATGTGATGTATTGTGATATGATGTATTGTTATGTGATGTATTGCCGTGTGATGCCTTGTTGTGTGATGTATTGTCATGGGATGTATTGTTGTGATGTATTATGATGTGATGTACTGCTTTGTGATGTATTGTTACTGCATTACACTTTATCGGTAACTCGGAAGAAGATTGCTTCGCAACTTACTTTGGTAATGCACATTTCAATGAAATCATAGCAGGTTATCTATCAGATAGTTGGATATGTCCGATCGCAATAATTGGATATACTAATCGATACCACATGTTTTGGATATATACTTGCTGATATTTGATAATAACTGAAGATAACCCCAACATGTAACTAATAGTAGGACCAAAATGTCATAGACAATAGTGGGCGTTTGGGGTTTGGGGGGTAACGATCGCAAATGACAGCGTGTAGATCTCAGCAACAATCTGGATATCACCAAGGATTTCTTGCCGTTTTACATCACCCAAAATCCGTCATTTGGAATTTTTGGGGTTCAAAGATCTCCCCGAAGAAACCACATTTTCACAGATTCGGTCATGTAACCAGACCTCACAATCCATGTTTAGTAACCCCAGAAAGAGGTGGTCAAAAACAGTAATACCCATAATCCCATCAGTAAAACATCACTACCAGAACTTATTCACCATCCCCAACTGAGGGTTAGCTCACCACATGTTGGACTGGACATGGCAACGCAACAATAGTAACCAGCAACATCTGCTTGGTGGTGCAATAGCCATCTTGAAAAATGATGGAGTTTGTCAATCGGAAGGATGACATCCCATATATGAAATGGAAAATAAAAGCCATGTTTGAAACCACTAACCAGATATAGACACACAAACCTCCACCTCGTTGCTGATGTGGGTCTGGGTGCCCTGACCATCTGCACAGCCGGTCGTGCCAGGGTGCCTTTCTTCAAGTCTTCCGGCTTCTTCTGGCATCAGTGGAGGTTCATTGATTGGTTATCAAAGAATTTTGGAGCTTCATGATGGATTTAAGACTTGACCGGGGAGGTTTGGAAGCCTTCCAGCAAGGTGATGTTCAATAGAATAATGGATTTATATGCCCATGGAACCCTTCCACCGCACCAAGCAACGATAGAACTCTAAGACTCCTAAGACTGGCAGGGACTACGCCGGCAAGTCGAAGCTGTTCTTTTTCTTCCTCATCCTTCTTCTGTTCCTCCTGTGAAGCAACACTAGTGGCAAAGAATCTCCAAGTCTATGGGGGTCTGCATCGAGCGGTACAATGCCAGAGCATGGCTCTTGAAATTCTATTTCTATGTATCAGTTGAATTTCACCATATCTGCTGACAATAGTTTCAGCATCTTTGCAATTTCTTGTTGACTAACCCTATCTTTCCATTCAACCCCCCAGAATGGGACCCCAACACATGCGGGAACCACAAAAGTCAATAGGAGATTCGTATTTGCACCTCCCCGCATTGATGGGTCACCCCGAGTTTCTGTTGGTGACATCCACATGTTTGTTGGTGTAACACAGTCATAAACTTGGTGTTTCGTTGACGCCCTGTTACCCTCTGGTAAACTAACAGTTTGCTATTGAAAATGGCAATCTATAGTTGATTTACCCAGCTATAAAATGGTGATTTTCCAGAGTTTTTTGTTCACGTTTACCAGAGGGTAACTCCCCAAGAACAATAGCCGTCACGAACCATCTAATGGCAACCCAATCCAGGATTTTTCTCCTCCAAGGCCACGGCAATGGCCTTCTCGGCTGCATCAGCCACCTTTTAAAAAGGGAGGACTTCACTCGCAAAAATGGGGGGATATG